GTATCATTAATAGCTTTAAAATGTAACAAAATAAAAACGGCTGTTTAAAAATAATTGGTAAAATTACAAATCCTAACAAATATCTACTTAAGTACTGTAACGAAGTAAATGTACTTGGTTATCTCTGGTGCTGCCCGCCGCCCGGTCTTTTTGGAAAGGTCTGCTCTACATCATGAGGCTTTTATTTTGAAGGTCCGAAGCGGAAGTGGAATTCTGACAGTTTTCTGTGCGGAGAGAGAGAGGGAGCTCAGGAGGAGCGGTCAGACCGACGGCAGGAGCAGCTCAGGGACACGCCGCTGAAATGGGAGTGGAAATTGAGACCATCACGCCGGGTGACGGTAAATAAAACAAACAAACAAAAATAACCACACCGGGGGGTAAAAACAGAATGTCTGATTCAGCTGCAGATAATACATTTAAAACGCCTCACTGGTTTCCCCCACAGGAAGGACCTTCCCCAAAAAAGGACAGACGTGTGTGGTGCATTATGTCGGTGAGTTGGACCCGCGAATCGTGGACGTTCTGCTCGTTTCAGCTCCATCCTGTGTCTCCTGGAGGCCGTAGAAGAAGAAGAGTGACGGCTGCAGACAACTGTCTCAGTTTATAAAACCTGGCTCAGAATAGTAATCCTCAAAGTATGACAGCAAATACTGACAGGAACAGGCTCAGAGAGCCCGCAGACMGTGGAGGAGTGGGACAGACCGCTCAGCTGACTTGTTTTTATTTACTTTTTAAACCTGAAAGCCTCCAAGCAGTGATTTCTCAGTGGGGCAAAGACTTCCAGTTACAGACTGGACTGTTTCATAGTTTAACCCATTCACTCCCATTTCTCTCATTGAGACATTTATCCATAGACTGATGATGCCTGTTTTCAAAAATCAGGGCCACAACTGGGTGATGTATTCCAATTTATTCATTAAAAAAAAAGTTAATATGTTTGTAAGTGACATGGGCAGTATAGGCAAATGCTGAGGGTGCCGTCCATCTAGGGGGCACCACAAATGGGGGACAAAAATATTTTACAAGTTTTAATTGTAGCTTTTAATTTAAATTAGGGTTGGTCACAAAATAATATTCGGCACTTTGCAATTACTGCTGTTAGTGATTATAAGTTATAGCGGCACAGGGCTAACGCATAAATGGATTAATGCTACTGTGGAGCTAACACTAACATGGAGCTAATGCTAATGTGAAGCTAATGCAACACTAACACCAATGCAGAGCTGCTAACGCAAGGCTAGCACTAATGCAGATCTAATGCCAATGCTAATGCAGAGCTAACACTAATGCAGAGCTAGCTCTAATCCAGATTTAATGCCAATGCTAACGCAGTGCTAACACTAATGCAGATCTAATGTCAATGCTAATGCAGAGCTAACACTAATGCAGAGCTAACTCAGAGTTAGCACTAATGCAGATCTAATGCCAATGATAATGCAGAGCTAACACTAATGCAGAGCTAACTCGGAGCTAGCACTAATGCAGATCTAATGCCAATGCTAATGCAGAGCTAACACTAATGCAGAGCTAACACTAATGCAGAGCTAACTCGGAGCTAGCACTAATGCAGATCTAATGCCAATGCTAATGCAGAGCTAACACTAATGCAGAGCTAACTCTAATCCAGATTTAATGCCAATGCTAACGCAGTGCTAACACTAATGCAGATCTAATGCCAACGCTAATGCAGAGCTAATACAGAGCTAGCACTAATTCAGATCAAATGCTAATGTAGAGCTAAGGTAGCGCAAACACTAATACAGATCTAATGCCAATGTTAATACAGAGCTAGCACTAATGCAGATCTAATGCCAATGCTAATGCAGAGCTAACACTAATGCAGAGCTAACACTAATGCAGAGCTAACTCGGAGCTAGCACTAATGCAGATCTAATGTCAATGCTAATGCAGAGCTAACACTAATGCAGAGCTAACTCGGAGTTAGCACTAATGCAGATCTAATGCCAATGATAATGCAGAGCTAACACTAAAGCAGTGCTAACGCAGAGCTAGCACTAATGCAGAGAAAACACTAATGCTAAGGTGTAGCAAACACTAACAGAGCTAATGCTAACATTGAGCCAATGCTAAAACTGAACTTGTCCCTTATGAGCAGTGAGATAAACGCTGGAAGGAGACAACGCAGGGCTGGCTGTGGACAGTAAAGACATAAATTTGACAGATAATTGTTTAGTATAGTTTTAGAACACAGGTTGACTATTTTAGAGTAAAAATAATACAAGTGTCATCTATTAATCGTTGGATTAATCATTATCAGATACACACCACAAATAATYGTGATTCATTATTCTTACCAATATTGCCCAACTCTTAATTTAAATGTATATTTAACAGCTCCTGGATAAACATTTTCATTAAAAATAGTACATAAAAGAGCAATTTTTCCAATAAAAACGTCTAAAATTTTAGCTAGATGGCGCTGGTTGTAGCTGCAGCATCTTATTTTTCCAGCTTGCAAATGTTTATGTATGCACTGCATTGGCCAAGTCATGAGTTATTGTTTTTAAATTGGTCCAGTATCAGCTGATTATTCAGTCCTCGTTAACATGAATTACATAAAGTGTTCTGTGTCGTCTGGAGATTTAAGTATGTAAAAATAAATAAACCAGGAATGGTCTGAATTCCTCTGCAGGGTTAACTCCGAGGCCCCAGACGGATCCAGACTGCGGGGTTTTAAATCCTGTCTGATTTTCAGAGCTTTTCTGTCTTTGTTGGAGTTTCTTTGGGGTCGCGGGGGCCATGGTGGGGGTGGGTCGGTAGCAGTTTGGCTGAGCGGATTATAACTGTCTGGAAGGCTGGAATAATGACTCCCTCCCTCACTGTGTTCATGTCATACTTTCCACCAGACACACATGATACCAGAACATATTCCCACCACACCTCGTGAGCATCACCTTCCCACAGGAGCTGAGATTAGCCATGTTTGTAAAGAGATAGTTCAGATCGTTTGGAAGTGGGCCTTTGGGAAAGCAACAGTATCTTACCTGTTGTAGGTGTTTGAGCAGTCTGTTTGGATAAATACAAATTTTTTGCTAAATGTTAAATTTAAATCTTAAATGTTGTGGTTATATGTTTAAGTTTACATTTAGGTTTTTCAGAGTGGAATGCAGCCTTTGCTATTGGTGCACTGCTTTTTTGTGACCTCATCAACTTGAGACAAAAGCAACCTCGAACTCTGCTAATGCTGCTAATGCTGCCAGCACTGCTAACTCTGCTAATGCTGCTAATTTTTTACGAGTATTTCTTGTAAAAAATAACTTATGTCCCAAAACAACTCACTGAGTTTTGTAGTTCTAACTTTGCTGCTAAATGTGCAAATATTCATTAGTTGTAAATGGATATTAAATGCTTAAAAACATCATCATTTTAAACAGGAACATAGGTTTAATGGCCCAGTTTGTTGTGCACCTGTGTTTTAATTGGTGCATCATGAGTACAAGTAATCACCTGTTGTGAAATGTCTTAATAGCTATAATGCTTTTTGAATTAGTACGTGCACATGTTCACTAACTCATGCTTGAAATGGCCATCATAATTTTTGTTGTTAGGCTGTAAATAATAATGATTTTTTAGTTAATTCCTTTTTCGTGTACTCATAAAATCTGAATACATTTAGATTAATGTGTGTAAATGAGTGTGGTCTACTTGCACAGCTCTACTGCTCCCTCTGCTGGCGCCCTGGTAGTAATTCTTGTAAAAAAAAAATAGAATATTTAGGAAATGCTGCTGCAACCAGTGCTGAAATATTTGATGTAACACAAATGTGCTAAAACACAGAGAATTTACAGTTTAAACTTAATCAGAAATACAGGAAGAAATACAGTTAGTTGTCTCA